ATGTACCTTTTCTTTGAAAAACACAGCAATATTTTACTCTTTTAACTCTACGTCTACAAAATGATACATAATGCACTTCAGGTGTGTATTTGTTTTTGTTTTTTTATTCAGTTTATGAAGGTGCTGTAAACTGAATCGTTTACAGAATACTATCGTATTTTGTACATGTTAGTTTTATTGTAATAAAAAAAAAATGCATTAATTTCAACAAATTTACCATCAATACAGACACCTCATCCATTGCATCTGCCATATTTTCTCACTGACATGCCCCCAACTCGGAAATTCAGGGCTAAAGAAATGACGAGTTAAACACACATGAATGTCACCACAAATTCATAATTACAAGCAGTAAACTATATGAACTTTCTTTAAAGGAATAATTCATCCAAAAATTCTAATTTGCTGAAAATTTCCTCACCCTCAAGTCATCCAAGATGTAAATGAGTTTGTTTCTTCATCAGAACAGGTTTGGAGAAATTCTCTGATCCTCTGCAGTGAATGGGTGCTGTCAGAATGAGAGTCAAAACATCTGATAAAAGCATCACAGTAATCCACAGGTAATCCACATTGCTCCAGTCCATCAACTGATGCCTTGCGAAGTGAAAAGTTGCATGTTTCTAATAAACAGATCCATCATTAAGGCATTTGAACTGGCCAAAATACAAGGCAATAATCCATAGTAACGCTTCCTCTAGTGAAAAAGTCCTCTCACATAAAAATCTGCCAACATAATTCTTTAGAGCAGTTTTGGACTGTTAGTGCTTGTAAACGGTGCTTGGTCTGTGCATATTTCTTTCCTGATTCAGACCTTTTCAATGGAGAAAGCTATATTATGGATAGAGGACTCTTTATATATTTAGGCAGGGCCGGTTCTAGACATTAGGAGGCCCTAGGCAAAATTCATGTTGGAGGCCCCCCACCCCCAATAAAAAGCACTTGAAACAAATATGATCCCTAACCTTTTTGTTTATACAACATTTAATTTAAAATTTTGCATATTTTAACTTATACAGTACAAAAGTTTGGACACATTTAATGTTTTTGAATAAAGTCTCATATGCTCATCAAGCCTGGATTTATTTGATCAAAAATCAAGATTATTAAGAAGTTGTTTAAAAATTATATATA